ATGGTCTTATTTTGGCCTCAGTGCTCCCTGTTAACAAGATTTTTGGTACTGCACGATTATTTATTTATCACTTTGGAGAATGTTTTATAATTGTGGTTTGCGTCCTCTCTATCTATGCTTTAAACGGGTAGAATACAATGAAGAAATAAAATCTCATAAGAACCTGTAAACTATTACCTGTCGATGTCCCAAACGTTTCGGGTAAACAATATAATTTTCTAGCTCCCTTTTCATAATTTCATCCAATTTCACCAGAATCTCATGTAATAAAGAGATAACTAAACAATATTACACTAAATAAGTTTAAGAAGATATTTCAAATTCTCGCTAAGACACCAGAACAAATGATGAACTCACCATATTTTAAGAGATGTCTCAGCTCCAGGATAAACTTGAGTATATTTCCAATGAAATTTCTGACAGCATTTTTTCTTCCTCATCCCTCATGCATAGGTTCCTCTGTATTCTGCCCCATCACTTTTAGGTAGTTCTAAAGACTCTGAAAGTTTGGGTCATAGTTTTCCAAAGGCGACTACTTACGAAGTAGCCACTTCTTATTTTGCCAACACTTTAGAGCCTCCTGCCAGCTGGAAGGAATCAGGTGGCGGAGGTATCCTTGCCCGACGTCTCGCGGCGGCCCCTCCCTATCCGGTCGCCGTGGCAGCGAGTCTAGGCTGCGGTCGCCTCGGCCTAATCGCCAATCGAGCCTACTTGACATCGCGTCTGAAGGCAGCCAAAAAGCTTGGGGCAGTGAAGCGAAATGAAAGAAAAAGTGGCAGCGAAGCGTCAGGTGGTCTGAGAAGAGAATCGCCAATTCCCTCAGATCTACGAAATCTCCGTCTTCCCATTGGCCTGCAGCCATTTGGCAACTGGCTAATGCGCGACCGACATGATAATAGGCCTACATGGTTGCTAGGCGCTGCGGAGGATGGCTGGCCTAGTCTGCCAAATTGGACTAGCTCTGCTGTGCCCGAGGGACGCTACAACACCGAATTAAGCCAAAATGACACACAAAAAGTAACTTTTTATCCATTGGCTCATGGTTATTATAAGAAGTAGAATGAAAGGAAAGAAAGGTTAGGATAACATTTTCACAATTAAATTTTCCTCCCTGTTTTTTTAGTCATATTTTATGCAATCCTTTGGCCCTTATGTTAAGTCTTCATCTTGGCGAATGTATAAGTGAGAGTTTTCCTACTGTAATGTTTAGCATAATCTCGCCTTATAGCTCATCTTTTATATCAGTCGAAAATAATCAACTAGGAAAGTATAGGATAAAATATATCATATTTATCTGTTAGTGGATGCCTGACAAATGTGAATCTACAATTTATTAAAACTTAACTCGTTGGGTCAGCCCCATATAAAA